ACGCTTGTTTGATGCACAATGCAAGACGACAGAAGTAAGCACATATGTGTATTAAATAGATGTAGCTGTTCACAAGAATCTTAGTCACTAAGCGTTAAGAAGATAGAGACGAACTACAATGTGTCTTTCGTAATTTAAATCGTCATAATAAAGTCAAATCATAAAAATAAATAAATAGGTGTGATATAAAAATAAAATAAATTAAAAGTAAAAAAAAAACTAAATATAACACGATTAAATACGTCAAGAACATGTTTTACATAAAAAAACAAGGAAAAAGTATTATTTACAGAAAGATAGGAGAATTTAGTGGATTTATATCGTGTTCTTGACGTATTTTAAGTCGTTTTAATATTTATTTTTTTTTTTACGTTTAATTAAATTTTTATTTTATATCCACCTTTTATTTATTTTTATTTTATTTGACTTATTATGACGAGTTTAATTACGAAGGACACATTTATTTCGTCTCTATCTTCTTACGCTTAGTGACTAAGATTCTTGTGAACAGTTAACATCTATTTATATGTGCTTACTTCTGTCAGTCTTGCATTGTTCATCAAAACAAGCGTTAACATTGTCGGTAGTTTTGCATAGAAGTTGATTTACTGTTTTTAATTTTGGTATGTAACACATTTTTGTTTTTAATGTATAATTAATTGTTGCGAATAAGTGTATTAAATTATAATTATTTGATTGAACTTTTTATAGATGTACTTGAAAGGGCTGCAATGACAGCCGAAACGTTGTTGTATTTCAAATAATTATTTATAATAAATTATTGCCAGTCTGGTCGACTTTAAAATGAGGAGTGGTTTTTTATTAATAAATAATTTTTTTAAATTGATCAATATATTGGTTCAATTTATCGCGTCATCAAAGGGAAGGAAAAGAAAATCTCCGATTATGTTTATTTCTTATCAATCAGATATTCGATCAAATGATAAATTGTCGATACTATCTTCGATTGAATTTGCTCGATTCCGAAGTCAAAGTTCACAACTTGAATTTTTATCAACATTTATAATGTAAAATTGTAAAATATAACTAATTTTCTTATCGTGCGAAGTCAATCAAAGATTAGATTGACAATTACAAAACAAAAGCATATGATTTTTCGAATATTTTTAATTATGGTTGACAAATAAACGTAATCGGAGATTTTCCTTCTTTCCTCTTCGATGACGATAAATTAAACCAATACACAGATCAATTTAAAAATATTCTTATTACATATTCTTGTTATAATTTTATTAGTTTCATGAATAAATTATTTTATTCAAAAAAATTGCAAAATTATAAGTCCTGGGCCCTGTTCAAGGATTATCAACCTGGTGCTGTCGGCAATGCTGAATATATATATATATATATATATATATACATATATATATATAATATTTTTGTATTGTGTTAGGCCTTACGCACAAAATAGAAAAATATAAAGGGTAAAAATACATATTATAAATTAGTAAGAGAGAAAAGAAAGTCTTTTACTTTCTTTCTTGTTTAATAATTATTTTTATTTTTAATTATTTTTCTGTTGCGTTGAGCCCTATTAGTACCAGAGATATATACGAATTGATACGTGTCTGTTGATCACGTGTTCAACCTGTGCACGTTACCACATTTCCGGCAGCGAGCACGAGCAATTGTTTCAAGAAGTACTGTTGCTGTGTGATTGTAATACTGATATTCTTTCGCGCCTAAAGTTTTGTGAGCTGGTGTATCTTTTTGAAGAGATATCTCCTCTGAACAGCTGAGAGAAAAGCTGAGATCTCCTCTGAGCTGACTTCTCCATATTGCATAATTGTGTGCATAGTTTTTTCAAGTATTAGACGAAACTTTTTTAAAGTAAGTACAATCATATTAATAAAATACACATATTTATAACTTTCACTCTTTTTTATTGTGTTCAGTGTTAGTCTAACCTCTAGCTTTGACTATGGATAAGTTAAGGTTTCTTTAGAACTCATTAATAATAATTCTGTATTTTTTAATACACATATCAATAACATCACAGAAATTGTAATTGATAATAATATTGCTACTGATAGTTTAATATTGCCTACAAATTCATGCTGTAATAATAATGTAAATGTCAATATTCCATACAACAATGAGTTAGTAGATAGTTTAATATTGCCTATAAATTCATGTTGTAATAATGATATAAATGTCAATGTTCCAAATAATGAGTTATTTAATAATGATGTCGAAGAATTACCGAATAATATTGAGTGCAATAATAATGAAAATAATATATCGTTAACCTCAAAATTAGCTGTATGGGCTGTAAAAGATAATATAACAATATCGGCGTTAGGAAATTTACTTCCTATAATACGAGAAATACCGGGATGTAGCAATATTCCAAAAGATGCAAGAATAGTACTAAAAACACCTAGTAAAATAATTGTAACACCTTTAGGTTCCGGGACATATTTTTATTTTGGTATAGAAAAAACGATAAATTTATTTTGTATAAATCATAAAATCAACTTAGAACGAGATGAAGAGTTTTTATTAGCTGTCAATACTGATGGTTTACCGTTAAGCAAAAGTTCGAATAGTTCGTTTTGGCCTATTTTATGCTCAATCAAATCAATAAAAGTTCTTATAAACCACATATTTTTAGTTGCTTTATATCATGGTTCGGAAAAACCAAAATCTGCTAATAATTTTTTTAAAGATTTTGTAAATGAATGTATTCATCTAACAACTAATGGCATATTAATAAATTCTTTTTGATACAAATTCAGAATTTTAATGTTAATTTGTGATTCTCCAGCTAAATCATTTGCTTTATTTATTAAAGGTCATACAGGCCATTTTTCATGCACAAAATGTGAAGAAGAGGGTGAAATGTTTAATCATGTATTACGGAGACAGAACGTTTTTGCAAAAGAACTGATCATACATTTAGAACTACTGCTCAACCGGAACATCATATTGGCAAAAGTATACTATTAGATATACCTAACTTTAACATGATAGATAATGTACCAATAGATTACATGCATAATCTTTTATTAGGTGGTATGAAAAGGCTCCTTTGTCATAAACGGTATGACTGGATTTATGGTAAACCACCCCATAAATTACGAGCTCGCGATGTAAATAAAATTTCAGAAAATCTTCTAAAATTAAAGCAATACGTTCCTTATGAGTTTTTTTTAGAAAACACGTTCTATAATTGAGTGTAAGAGATATAAAGCCACGGAATATAGATTTTTTTTGCTCTATTCTGGTCCTAGTTTTGAAAAAGGTTTTATCATCTAAAATTTATAATAATTTCATAACATTAAGTCTTGCTAGTTCTATAATGATAAGTCAATGTTATTCGAGAAATGAAGATTATGTAATATATGCTCACAGTTTGATGAAACACTTTGTCTGTCAGTCTATTCAAATTTACGGTCCGGATTTTGTATCACACAACATACATAACTTTTTGCATTTAAGCGACTGTGTAAAATTATATGGTTCACTTGACAATTTTAGCGCTTTTCCTTTTGAAAATTATATGCAACAATTAAAGAAGAAAGTTCGTAAATCAGCTCAGCCTTTACAGCAAGTTATATGTACATCGCGTGCTTGAGGAAAGTAATATTGCTCAACATAACTTTAATAATATCTAATATAATATAAGTGTTCGATATACGACCTATATGATTCACGCCGGACACCGATCGCGGTGATATCATTGTTTTCGTTCTCGTATCATCTCGGTGAAATTCGGCGTATTCCGAAAACACGGACGAGTGGGGAAATGAGCCTCGACGGTTTCCATCGATGTGTCCGTGATATACTTCTGTTACAACAGTCGCGCGAATAACAAGTAAGACCTTCACAACAACCGGCGAGCGAACGAACGAACATTGTACATCGATCTACTCGGCACCGCAACAATAAATCTCGATCTTGAGAATTAAATTTGATTGCATATGTTACGTGGATTTCCCCGTCACATCACAGTTTGGCGAGACAATACAATTAAGAGAATTACGGACATCAAAATACTCGCATCACGCATACGAGATCACATTTTCTCGTACAATAAGCGATTAATAATATAAGCGAGTAGTTTGGGCACTTATGGTAAAGTATATATAAATTGTCAGACACAGACACACACACACACACACACACACACACACACACACTATATTGTGTATTTGTGTAACAAATATATATTTTATAAATCTTTTGTATATATTTATATATGTATAGCAATTATATTACATAAGTAATAGTCATATATATATTATTTATTAAGATAATTTACTTTTTAATTAAAAATACAACTACGTATTTATTTTTCATTTTTTAATCAAATTTTAATCGACTTATATATTTATATACTTAGTTGTTACTTTAATTTTAATTAATACTAATTTAAATAATTATTATTTTGCAGACACTTATAAAAAAGCGCATCAAAAGGCAAACAAAACCAAAAGTACAAACATTCTTACTTCTAATAATGAAGAGTTGAAAGAGAAAAGAAAACGTAATACAAAAACTAAAAAACGCAATAACAAATCTGAAAGTGAATCGTCCTTCTCTGAAATAGATAGATCATCATCAGATGATGATGCACTATATCCTGACGTTCCAAATTTTAACGAACAAATTGACTCAAACAATAGTAAGTAAAAAATATGATGTTGGTATAAGATATTATAATTATGTAATAAAATATTCATTAAGATTATATTTTGTAAAAAATATTTATAATAAAAATAATTAATATTAAAAATACAGAAATATAAGAAAACATATAAAAAACAAATAAGAAAAATTTAAGATTTTAATTGCACTTTTTCTTGATATAGCTTTAAACCAGTACTTAAAATTTGTAACAGCTATTAATGTAGAAAAGAGAATATAATTATATGTAAAAAGATATATATTTAATTTATATTTTTTCTAGGAAAGAAAAATCAAATAGAAAATAACACTCATAAGTTCAAAGTTACTGTTGATACTATTTCTAATTCTGGTACTAGTACTTCTATTTCTAATATTGTTGAGTCATATCATAAAAACCCGGCTTTGGAATTAAATTCTGGTAAGAAAGATAGTTCGTATAATATATTATAATTTATTACATAAGATATACGTATATATTGTAATAAAATAAATACAATTTAAAAATTTAAAAAAATGGTATATATATGTAAATAAAATATTAAAAAAAATATTACTAAACAATAATTTATAATTAATTATTTACATTTTAGAATTTGGAAAACGGATTTGTAGAAAATTACACATTCTCAGTTTGAAAATGGATGATATTTTCGAAGGTATTAATGTTCTACTAAAAAATAAAGCAGATCTAGTACAAAATGTTGTATGTAATGAAATTCCCGAAATTATGCAATCATTTCCTGTAAATGATAATTCTTTGGCTGAATTGGAGAACTGGTTAATGACATCTGAAAATAATAAAACAATTTTGGTAAGAGAAATTAAAATATTCTTTCTACTATTGTAAATAAAGTATAAATAGTATGACAAATTATATGTATATATATATTTTAATAAGATAATTTATACTCAATTTAGTAAAAAGAATATTTTAACTTGATTATATGTGTGTATAATTGTATCTTATATTATTATATTTAAATATTTTATAAAGACTACATATATATTTACATATATATATATATATATATATATATATATATATTTTGTAGGTGGTGTCAGGATAGTTTTAGATGATGTCAGGGCGTAATTCTAATAAGGCTTCTAGTGGATCTTAACAAAGGATCTTTATTAGGTTAAACTGTACTCGATAGAACACGCACGACGGCTCACTGCCGTATATCTGTCCAACGGCTCTCTCTCTCCGCGGGGAACTGACTTCTTCCCCTTTTCTCTTCTTTCTTACGCAGCGCCGCTAGCGGTAGAGGGGGGGGGGAGTGGAAACGCAATTCGCCACTCACGCGTGTATATAAATGAATATCGGTAGAATAATAATTCGCCTACAGTCGGCCAGCCTGACATTACGACCGTCTCGGTCGTACGTATAGGAACAAAACGTATTAAGTAAATATATCCAACATATTAAGTAACGCCGGATAAAACAAACATTTCTTATGGACTAAATAAACATACTGATTAGTCATATTTATTTGGATATATATGGTCGCATCGCGTCGGCGGCAATGACGCTATTATAGGGCATTTGAGTGACTTGAAATCCCTCGACATCGGTTATTACATAACGGTCAGAACCTAGCACTCGCTTTACAACGTAAGGCCCTTTATACTTTGGTATGAGTTTTTTATTGGTACCGACAGAAGTGTCCACATTACGGATCATTACGTAGTCGCCCTCTTTATATTGTTTCGCTTCTTTGTGTTTCTTGTTATAATAGCGTTCGTTTTCTTTCTGACTCTTCTGAATTTTTTCAGAGGCAGCTTCTCTTAATAACACTAGATCTCGACTAGTATCAGTATCTAAAACTAGTTTAAGTTTATCGTTAACTTTACCGAGTTGTTCTACGCCAAATAATAGTTTACTGGGGGTTTCCCCCGTTGATCGACAAATCGTATTATTAAATGCATATTCTATTTGATCTAAAACTTGATCCCATTTGTGTGGTTCGTCACATAACTTCGCAATCATCGGAGTAATGTCGTGGTTGAACCGTTCTATTTGACCATTTGCACGCGGAGTACCAACAGCTACGAGGATATGCTGAGTAGACTCATTATTTATAAATTCAGTAAATTTATCTGATGTAAAGGCTGTTCCGCGATCGCTCACAATGCGTCGAGACTTACTATAAGTTCGATAATAATTTCGCAAATGATTAATTGTCTCATTCGAGGCCGTAGATTTGCACGGATATACTTTCAAAAACTTTGTAAAAGCATCTACTACTGCTAAAATATATTTGTATCCGCGACCGGTTTTTTCAAAGGGACCACAATGGTCGACATGGATCGTTCGAAAGGGTAAGTTCTCTTTCGGTATACTGTGTAACTTGCCTTCTTTCTTTCCACTAGAAGGGGAAAACTCTATACAACGCAGACAATTAGAAATATAGCACTTTACTTTCTCTCTCATTTGTGGGAACCAGTAAATTTGCCTAATGTTAGCAATAACTTTATCGAGGCCGACATGGCCAATGTCATCGTGACACGTACGGATTACATTACTTTCCATTGATATCGGTACATAAAATAAGAGTTTTTTACCCTTATCTTTACGGTAAACAAGACCGTCTCGCAATTCAAAGAATTTATCCTCAGATTTTTCTAATTTATTTCGAATGTTTACTATATTTACATCCCGATCTTGTTGAATAGATAAAGTTCGGTCGAACGAATTTGCTTCTAATGTCAGAATGCTATGACATCGACTCAACGCGTCGACATGATTCATCTGTGTACCGGGTCGATGTACGATTTGATAACAGTATTGCTCTAAAAATAATGCCCAACGATATATTCGCGGATTAACTGTCTGTTTACTTAAAGTAAGGCGAAAACTGTCGCAGTCTGTTATTATCTTAAAAGGGATACCGGCGAGATAGATATGAAACCGTTTAATCGCATAAATCACAGCGAGACACTCCAGCTCAAAACTGTGATACTTGGATTCGACAACTGTTGTCCGTTTACTAAAATAAAATACAGGCCGGAAAATACCATCCTTTTGTCGCTGTAAAAGTATCGCGCCGAAACCACTTGTACTCGCATCGCAGTGCAATTCTGTTTCAAGTGTCGGGGAATAAATCGATAGTATCGGTTGAGAAGATAACAACTGTTTCAATTTTTCGAAGGCCTTGATCTCCTCTGAACCAAATTTAAACACGGCATTTTTCTTGACTAAGTCATATAACGGTTTAGCGACTATTGAAAATTTCGGGATGAAACGACGGAAGTAACTAGCTAAACAAACAAATCGATGCGTCTCTTTTATGTTTCGCGGGATTGGGTAATTAGTTACGGCTTCAACATGTTGCTCACTCGGGCGAATACCATTTTCATTAATTAAATACCCAAGATATACAATTTCCGTTCGAACAAAGAAACATTTATCGAGTCTAAACTGCAACCGGTATCGTCGCGCTATTTCAAATACATCTTTCAAAATATTTAGGTGTTCCTCTATACTTTCAGTCGCTATCAAAATATCATCTAGATATAA